ATAACATTTTTTTCTCAATATTGATCTGAATGGAATGAGAAGGCAAAATGAAATGGATGTTTCCGGAATTGTGTAGCGTGACACTTTCTCAACATCAATTTCCAGTTTAGGTATATAAGTCAGGAGTGGATAGTGACAAAAGTGTGCGGTTGATGAAAAATGTGTTTTAGGAAAACCTGACACCTTATCTTTGTACTTTAGTGACAGGTGCATTTATTAACCTTTCCCATTTTTTTTTACCTTTTTGCTTTAGTGAGAAAATTATAAACGAAGTAGGAGAAGGATGGAGGTAGCAACAGTCGAAACTTCAAACACAGAAGTGAATAATAGTATGGTTAAATTATGCATCATTAAAATTTTTATTTAAGTTCGAACGTATGCGTAGGTGTGTTATTTGTGTGGGTAAATGCATATGAAGGAGACTTTTTGCGGGCTTGTTTGATAATGTAAATATTTGCTGTTTTTTCCATTCTCTACCTCCGTTTCTCCTCCTCGTTCTTTTTGCTTCTTCGATGGTTTTTTTTCCTTATTTATTTGGAAGGCTAAGCTTTTCGGTGCTTACAAAATGTGTTGTGTGTTTTGGAATGGAAAGGAGGAGGTGGGAAATAGATGGTCTTGATGTGATAGATTTACTAAAAAGCGGCAGGACGATGGAAGAGAAATTTGTAATTTGGGAAAAGGGGGTGAGAAGAAGAAAAGGAATTTTGATATTGGGTATTGATAGCGATAATCATAGCAGTATAACGATGATGATGGTTTCCACGGGTATAGTGGGCGGAGGAAGGATGCGGTAGGAGCGATGTAGAAATCTTTGGGAATTATAGTATTTTTGATATCTTTTGTTATCTTTGATCGTAAAATAGCAAGATTTGAAGGTGCAAAAATGCTAATGTTGGAGATAAGTTATTAAAAAAAAACGTTCCATTAGAAATTAGTTGAGGATTGAAAAAATACTGATTTATTTAGTCAGCATATACGCTTTAAATTTTAGGCTTGTAAAATTTGAGAATTAACTTGAAAGAAAATTTTGAGAATCAAGAGCTCAATTCAATATTTGATTTTTTGATTAGCATTCATTCATTAATGAAATTTTAGCTGTAGCCCTTTTTTTATGCGTGTAAAAATAGCAAAAGTGATTTATCATAAGGGGTTTCGAGTTTATTCGTAATGCGTGAAAAAAAAGAATTTTGAAATTTTTGCATCAAATGAATGTTTATTAGAAAGGAAGGGGAAGGTAAGAATGGGATTATGACTGTTGGATATATTAAACGTTTTCTTTAAGTGTGAGATGATAGGAAGCAGGAGAAAAATTAGCATTTAAAGAAGCAATTGAGAAGAGAAAATGAATATTTTTAAAAGCCACATTTGCAAGTGAATTTAATAATTCTGTGAGATCAACGAGTGTTTGCTGCGCAAGAATTAAAAAAAAAACTGATCTATTGATTACAAGATTATTGCAACTTGTAAAGTAGAAAGATGTCTGTTAGAATTAAGACAAAAAAAATTGCTGAATAAATGTTTTTTTGCACTAACATTTATTTATGTTGGAGAGAATTTACAAGAAGCTGTTGCAATTTTCACGGATAAGAAGTACCAAAGTATTCTTTGGTTCTATATTTAATCATCAGTCGATAATTCCTACTTAAGCAATAGATGTCCTAAGAATGTGAAAAGAATCATTGCAACAACTTTCTAATGTTTTATTGTGTTTTCCTATACTTTTTTATCGCAAAATAAGATTGAATATCTTTTTTTTTTTTCGCGAAATGTCGTTTTCACCTATGACGTAAACGTTTTGCTCGTTCCTTTCTTTTTTTCCTCTTTCATTTGACTTAAACACTTTTGCTGTTTAGTTTTCAACAGGTCTTTGGAGTGCTTTCTTACAAAATCCAGCTGAGGAAGAAAGTTTCACCGGTTTTATTACGGTGGCACTAAGTTATGGTTATACGTCCAATATCGTCACCAGGATTACCGTCTATGTATGAGGTAGTTTGCATTGTTGTTTTGTACGACTAAATTTTTTTAAACCTTACTAAATCCTGATCCTTTTATTCTATCTAGAACTTAATTTTTAAATCCGATATTATTGGATTCATGCTTAATACTTCTGTTTATTACTGAATTTATTTGATAAATCACATTTTAGTCAATGTATTTTTTTGTTCTAAGGAAATAGTATTCTTATTAAATCTCTTTCCACATCCTTCCCATTAATAGCAAATTTAAGGAATTTAACGTATTTGAGATGATTGAAAAGCTATGCGAAACATCTGTAATTTATTTATCTCAGGGCAAGGAGTTTTAACATTAGATTACGCTGTTGTTAATGTCGGTAGATGATGTGCTTTTTAACTGGTATCATTCGTAAGTCCTAGTATTGATGCTTTTACAAAAACTGCACTATATATGTTATGAAACTTAATGCTTTTAATCAATGCGTCTCTACTTTAGATTAGTATACCGTAATGATATTGAAGTTACTATGCTGGTAATTATAGGTTTACTATGCGTAATTGTGAACTTAATTATAGCTTCACTTAGTATTTAGTTTCAATTTTGAACTATAAGTGTTATTTTTATTATAAGTTATGGATATTCACATATAATGTGAGGTTGTGATTATACCTAATATTTGGTTTATATTTGTCATCATAAATTATATTTGAAAGCTAGGAGGTATAAATTATACTTGATAGAGGAATTTGCCGAGAGTTCATATTTGTTATCTTTTGAATTCAAGAGCAATTTTTTTGTCGTTTATTCAGAAAGCTACACCTTTTTTTTATTAGCGCTAAAATTTATTCGTTAAAATTCTCATCTCATTTTTGTGTAATGTATTTTTTTCTCCATCTGTTTATCTCTTTTCGTAAAACCAAACCAAAAAGCTCTTTTTTTCATTCCCATCCATATATGTTTGTACTCCGTAGTAATAATCAATATTCATATACGTATGAAAATGTGAATAATATGTAATATCGAACAAAATATCGTAAAAAAGAGAAATAGTAATAATATGAGTAAAATATTTTGTAACTAATATACTGTAGAGGAAAAAATAAGAAATAAGGCTCATTAGTTTACTTAATTGTACGATAGATTATTATTGATAAGTGCATCAATCTAATTAAGCGAGGGAAAGATATAAGAAAAAAAGGGATGTTATCTTTGTTCACTGCAGTAGTATGCTTTTATAAAAAGCCACCAATTTATAGTTTATTGCGCTTAAAAAGAGGAACTGGACATTTTGAAGATTGTTGGTAAAGTTGTATGATAAAGTTGTTTTGTGTTAATCGTTTTAAGTTCTAGGATGGAGGAATAAATGGAAGGTTCAGTAAATATAGCATATTCATTGATGAGCTTTTATCTTGTGCCATACAAGATATATGAATCATTTTAGTAGCAGAGCAAAATTATTGAAAAATTTTCCCGGTAAAATGTTATCGTATTTGTTTATACACATATTTGAGTATTATTGTGGAAAGCGTCGGCGTAAAATGAATAAATATAAAACAGAACAGAGACAAATAATTAAGCAATGAGAGATAATGAAAATAATAAAAAATGAAAGTAAAGAATGATGAAACTAGAAATGATTTGATTTGAAACGGGAGGAAAATAAGAGTTAATTGTACCTGATTTCCTTTTGTCTTCCTGTACTGATTTCAATATCTTGTCAACTACTAATAGCATCTCGTCGGGTACTGCTTGCTAATTTAGATGAAAATCTTGAATCACGAACTTGGGAGATCAAAATACATTTAATGAAAATCATAGTTGATAGAATGTTAATAGTGAGACATCCCAAATACATCATCATATCAAGTGGATTGATCATTGAATCGAAAAATAATACTGCAAACAAAAACAAAAAAAAAAATGAATTTGCGGTTTCGACAACAACGCTGTGATTACTGCCGTTATAGTTGATAAAATTTTCATATGGGTAAAAATGATTGTTATGCCGCCGGATAACTGCGATAACATCAGTTTCTCTCTCTTCCACTCTTTCATTTTTTTTCTCTTTTTTAAATAAAAGACCAAACATGTACTATGGACTTTCCCAGGGGACTGTTTGTGAAGTTTATAGAATGCATGCGCTTTTCGTTAGATTCAGAAACATCATACTATCATTGAAAGAATTGATTGCATATCACAGTGTCGTCATTATAATGAGTATTTTCCTGAAGTCTTTTTTTTCTTTTATTAGATAAAATCTCGTGCCAATGACTATTCCGAAATTTTTTTGGATTTTCGAAATCATGAAATAGCTACGCATAATTTTTCTAATACATGATAATTCGGATTTTATTTCTGATGACGGTAATTCCCGATTTCTGTTAACGGATTAAAAAAAAATCGAATTATCAATCTTAGCTTTAAAAGGTAAAGCTTCCGAAGATGAAGAATAATCATGGAACGTTTATGGATGCTGCAAAAATGTAAAAAAAAAAGAGCGAGGCTCCCTCCGGTGATTACAAGCTTCGGTTATTCATTGGACGATTGGTAGTGAGGTGTTTGGCATTGGTTATGGTGAAGGTTTTGTTGTGTTGCTATTTGATTCATCTTGAAAAACATACAATAGGCCAAAAATGTTGCCATTTTTGATTCCTTCTATCGTTTGCTGTTACGCCAAGCTAACAGCTACATCTTGAAGACTTTTGTAACTGCTGTTGATACAGAGGTGGAACGATTACGGTCCAACTCTTATTTAATATCGTCTGTTGTTGTTGTTGTTATTGTTGCTGTTTCTATTATCATCAATCTGAGTTTAGAAAGAATTTCATATTTCAAATTCATCTGCTCAAATGTAAAATTTCTACAATCATCGTCATTACCATTGATTTCGTTAATTCGTTATCCTAATTTGATTTCAATTTCTATACTGAATGTTATTATTATAAATATACAACTTTTACTTTTTTTTCAATTATTTAAGCTAAGATTACTACTATTTAAAATTTATTTAATGGGTAGAGGAAAAATTTTCTTTAAAATTCAAAATGAGTCAATCAGTGGTAAACTGTAGCAACAACAATCATCATCATCATCATCATCATCATCATCATCAACAACAACAACAACAACAATCACAACATCAAAATAACAATAATGTATATGGTATTGTTGCGGCATCAACATTTTCTGATAGTAATAATTATTCTGCAACTCTTGATGACTCTGATACTACTTCAATTGCTAATACTACTGATGCTACCCTTGCATTTGATCGTTCTCGTCAAACACGTGTTATTGTCGCGCCAAATATATCATTGGCATCATCGTCATCATCATCATCATCATCATCATCATCATCATCATCATCATCATCGTCATCCTCGTCAGCATCGTCATCAGCAGCATCAGCTCATGTTCCACAACAACAACCTCATTCAAATACCGAAGAACCTTCGTCTAATCCTGCTTTATATTGTACAACAGCTCCATCATCATCTTACCTTACTGCACAAGCAGGCTATCTATCCAATCATTCACCAGCTGGATCATCATCAGTGCTACATTCATCTTGTTCAAGTTCAAGTTTTGTTTACCCATCCAATTTCTTCCAACCATATTATGGCTTATCACCGACACTGAATGAATTCAATGTGTTACAGATGTGTTGTCAACCATTGTTTACCGAAGTGTGTCATTTGCTCCTTTGTTTTTTAATTTTTTAAGTCTGTAGTTATTTTATCTTTTGATTCCTTGATTTCATCAGTTTATTTGGCACATATTTAATTTCCGTATATGATTCGAATTATTACTCCTTTTTTGTTTTTATTTTTGATATTATTAAAAAGATTGATATAGTAAGTTACAGTGTACTGGTTGAAAAGGTCACGTGTACTAAGAGGGGTATGGTTCAATTTCGTCATAGAGTAGTGATTGATAATGCCGGTTATATTATCATGCAATATAAGTCTCCATTATAAAAGGTCTAATAAGTAAGGTGATATCGTATAGCTCTTTAATTTGATTACTTTCTTTCTTGAATGCATCGCTTCCGAACTATTTCAATCAATTTTTTATTTGATAAAATAAATAATACGAACAATTTATTCCTTAAAACATTTCGAAATATCCAAAGAAGAAAGAAACTTTTCACTGGTGATTATTATAAATTGATAATATTGGTAACAAAATTTAAACACAGTAAAAATAGTAGTGAAAATCGTATGATGATAATGAAATTTAAATATGGTCATATTTTTATCATCATCTTGCTTTTTCCTGATAGTAAAAACATCTCAGAAAATTCTTGCTAGTTTTTTATTACTAATTTTCAAAAGTTTGCCAGATTTGAAGAGATTTTCTTTTTTTGTTTGCTTTCGAAGGAAATTGGTTAGTAGGAATTCAACTTTTTTTTTGCAAACTTCACTTCCAAATTGTTCATGTTTAGAAAAGAGTGAATACGGTAACGATCCCAGCCATTATTGGTGACAACTGCTTTAGATGGACGATTGGGAAGGAACTAGGAAAATTTTTGGTTTATTTTTTTCTTTCGCGATGATCATGTTAATTTTTGCAGATAGCATCGCAAGGAACTGATATAGCACCTACCGCCGAATCGTTGTACGGATTTGCCAATCGTCTACATCCGATTACGCCAACCGGTAAAAATTTATTTTTTATCCTATTTTCATTCTTGATTATTCATTTGAAGATGGTCAGATTGACTAACTATATTCACCTTTGATATTTCAGCTTATTACGTTAATGTTTTAACCTCGCCTTTTTTAAAGTTCTATTTTTCTTATATTCGAGATAATTTTTGCATATATTTTAAGCCAGAACCTGCAGTCAGTAAATTACTTTCCTAACAAATGAAAGATAAAAAAGCTGAAAAAGACGAGACAAATGGAAAAAAGAAGGAAGGAAGGGATAAAAATATTTATCAAACGCTCCATCAAAAAGTTATTAATTTGATGATCGTCGAATTTCAATGTTTTTTTTTACTGAATCAGAACTGAAACCTAAGAGTTAGATGTTGCTATGATTCGCGGTTTGATTTCTGAGATTATACTAAAGAATTTGATATATTTTACCTTTCTTAAATTCGTAATAATTGAACCTTCTAATTTTTTTCGTTCAATTTTACATCCCCAAAAATGTAAAATTTTTTTTGCATTTTGAAAACCAAGATTTTGTCTTATTGCTGGACACATTATTTCTTTTCCATCAGATCAGTGATACGGAACTGTAATCTTTGCTGTTCATGCACATAGGTTTGTTTCATGCTAAATTTATGTTGCATATATTTCTTTACTTATTTAGTTAGCTTATTTTCTGTTCTGTTTAATAATTTGTTTATCAGTTGCTAATTTTCCTGGACTTTCCTTCAAAAATAATTTCAAAAAGGAAAAAAATGATATAACATAGTTTCATAATAGTTTGAAAAATAGTTTCAAAAAAAGTAAAATAAAATAATAGCTTCAAGTAGTTCCTTTACTCTTTTTAGCGTTACTTTTTTTTTTCTCTTTTCTCAAGAGCATTTTTCTCATTGACATACATTAAATCCATCATTTTCATCTGATCAATCATCATATCATGCTGTCATGACGATAGCCATATGATCGTTTAGCATTACTTATTGATCAATCAACTGTCGGTCATTTTTTATATTATAGCCATTTCCTAAACCTGTTATCATCTTTCATAGGGTATATTTTTTATGTTTAAGTTCACTAAAGGTTTTTATTCTTTAGGTGTATTGGAAACTGCTTTCTGAAACTCTTGATTTACCTTAGTATTAATGACCCAGCACGGTATTTTTTTAACGGATTTAAGTGAGAAAAAGGATAAAGAAACAAATGGTGAAAAAGGAAGCCAATGAAAGGAATGAAAAAGAATGTTGTAGTATATTTGATTAGAAATCTCGAGCTAATTTTAAGATATGTATCATTCGAATCCGGAATATCGGAACTCCATAGAAATAGTGAGATAGTTTTTTTCAACTTTTTTTGTTTTAAAGGAAAATATGATCATTTACTATTTCATGAAGTAAATTTTCTCATCCATTGTTCTAAAATTTATTTATAATTTTTGTCATTCATCAAAAATCGACATTCCTTTTTTTTATTCTCTTTCATTTTTAGTTTATTTGCTTGAGGTTGATTTTGTTGCTGTTTCCATTTGCATATATATATATTGTGTATGTATATGTGTGTCGTATATTTCCACAAACCCCTGTCCTATGTGTTTATTTTTGAATTTTTTTTGATGCATTGCTCGTTCTTTTCAACATTTTATTTGTTAGCTTTTTTCTTCATTCATTTCTTCTTTTGCTTGCTTGTCTGTTCCTCATTTCGTTATCTTTATTACATAATATTTTTGGAAGGAAAAAATGATTGATAACTATCGAATACTTTTTATATATGCTTTCTGCATTTTAAGTACTGTGTGTTGGCGAATTATCAATAACTTTCGCTAAAAATGATTTAAATTTATCCTAAGGTTGGATATTTACAGTAATAATGATTTACTATTTCATGATTTACTATTTCTTTCATTTATATGATGAATTTAGTGGAAATGAACGTAAATTTTACTGACACGACGAAACATTCAGCTGCTATGCTTGCACTACACTATTATAAAAATTGAAGTTTTAAATGAGGAGCTTCACTTGATAAGTATATTACCAGGGATATATACCATTGTGAAATTAGGAAGAACAACTATGATTGGAGTTATCGGTGATAATTGTTACATGGAGTGATTGGGTTGTAAGCAGTTTCGGAAAGATTTGACACATACAAACTGTTGATTGATGTTCTATTTTAAAGATAACAGAAGCATCTGGACTGGTAGTTGGAGCCATTGTATTAATTGATCAATGAATTTAATTTTTTTGGTTTCTGATAAACTTTGTTGTTTGTTGTGTTATGACGTTATCTTATTTTAACCCAGCAATATCTTGAAAGTAGTATTGGATGGGATAGCTGAGGATGCTGTTATGAAATGATAATTTCGAAATTGTTTGTAGATTTTCAATCATAAGAGTACTTAAGATTGTTTATAGATAAGAATGCTA